TCCAGGATACTTCTATCTAACAGCACTAATTACCTCTCAAAATTAATATATTCATATTGAGATCCAATTGACAAAATCAAATTAAATCAAAGATAATTAATGCTAAATTTGTTGTTTATTAATACATTGTATGCAGGCACCAAATCTTTTCCTACAGCAGGAAAATAATCCTCTATTTTCTTTTGAAAAAAGCAGGGTTTAATAAAATGCTAGATTTTTCCTCACAAAAATCAAATGTTATGTCCTGATGTGCCACCTCAAAAGACACAACTAAAAACCTTTTTTTCTTCACCTCCAAGATGCTTCTTCACTCCCACTGTTTTAAAGCATGTGTCACCCAGTTCCTTCCTTCACACAGCAGTTAAGTGGTAATTAGACTAATCTCTCTTAGAAAAGAGGCTCATCTTTCTCACTTTTTCAATGATTCATGCCTTTTTTCATCATTTTCACTCTTTCGATTTTCTTGCTGTGACACGCCATGGAGAAGACCAATTCTTTTAATGGAGTCTTAAGGTACCTTTGAGAACCACACAAGATGAAAAGAGGCGACATAAGGCAGAAACCAGAAGCAGAGCCACGACAGAACACAAAAAGAGTCCTTTGCAAAAGTATTCACAATGAAAGTTCTTCATACTGGGCCACATTTTAATCCCAAAAGATCCATCATTCTTATTGGGATTGTAATTGACAGACCAGCAGAGAGTACTGTGTAATTAAGAAGTAGAATTTATTCATTTATTTTCCTTTTTTTAGATTTAGTTTTCAATCTATGTTGTGGATTTCCATTCAGTCCCCCTTCCTTAGATAAACATTATTTTCATTTGATTTAAAACTTAGGCAATATATTCTAGTTCAATCCATTGTGGGTATTACACACTTAAGTATCACAAACAACATTTATTTAATTTAATCACACTATAAATCCAGCTCTGGTGCGACCCCCCTTGGGGATTTGGTAGAGATCATTTATAAACAAACAACATCATTAAAACAGCTGAACAGAGCTTGGATACATTTGTAGAGTAGGATAAAGGGAAGTTGGTCAACACTGTAATACAATATTCAGAAGTTTGAAAGTAAAAAATCAGTATGACACAGCTGCAAGCTTGCTAAGACACCAGAATTGAGCTAAACTAAAGAGAAGCAGCTCAGAAGCTCATAGTAAACTCGCTGGACCATCAGAAAGTAGCCACGTGGCAGTCCAACTATCTGTTCTTTATAAAGGAGGAGAAGTTTCTAGGATCAGATGAGATCCATACAGAAATTTTAAGGCCCTAAAGGCCCTTCACAATGACAACATATTGGAAGGCATCATGTCATGGGAATGCACTATTTCAGCTGGTCAGAGCTGATGGAAAGATAAATGCCCCTAAAGGTGCATTCTTTATTAATTTAAGGGCAGAACACACGGAATCCCATTTTGCATCTAATCTGACAGGAAATCGTGTTGGAAGAGGTCGTGGCATTTACCACTCATTGCAAGTCAATGGGGTTGATCACACCCGACACAATTCTACGCAAAAGATAGACCCAAGGTCTATTTTAGTAGGACTAAGCAGCAATTCAGCCGTAATTTCAGGGGTCTGACAATACTTAACTCATGATAGGAATAGTGTAGTACTGATCCTCTTTGAGCCTCGCAAAGGCAATGACGGGCAGAAAATGCAGTTTATCACTTTGCTCAAAAACGAAAAAAAAAAAAGTCTTCAGGACAGAAAACAGACATTGTAAAATAGTGATCCTCTTTGAGCAACAGAAAAAGAAAAAAATACTGAGTGGCAGACAGTGCAGTTAAGGGTAAACTTTGATAAACTTCACAGATCTCTCTGAGATCAGCATATTTTTTAATATAGGCAAATGTACATTCTCTATCTGCTTTGGCTTGAGATTCTCATAGACTTTTGAAGTGGGGCTTTATTTTATAGCTTTTTAATAACTGTTCATTCTGTCCAAGTCAAATGTGGGAAATTATTTTGATTCGTGTAGCACAGAGACAAAAGTGAAAAAAAAAATCTGCACAGATCTGCTCACCCTGCCTAGTTGGAGCCTCTATATGCAGTCAGTGTGACATGGAAAAAATTAGATCGCAGATTAAAAAGTCGTAACAAGCCGGTATGTTCAGGGCAATATAGGAAACGGCTCTCTGCCATTGAACACAGGAGCAGCATAAGCATTGGACACGTCTGAACACACTTTACTGGATGCACGTCAGGAGCGTCAAAGATGCTCTTGAGGCGCATTGAACCTTAATGTGTACAATCATAAAAAATGAAGCAGCACGTGTTTTTTTAATGCTTCCATTGCCTGCAGTCTGAATGTAGCATAAGACTTGTTCCACAAAAATAGCTTATTATCGCAACAGCGTAAAATCTACAGAAATTTTTAAGTTGTTGCACAAACTTAATGGGTACTAATGGTACATACTTTTTTTTGAGGGAATGAGTTTGCAAGCTTTTAGATAAAAAGTCGGCTTAATGCATTTTTCAGTGTAAGTGGAATGCTTTAGATTAAAGCATATTTGGAAAAGTCAAAAACCAGCCCCTGATATTACTGAGAAAATGTGACAAATTTTAAAAGTTAAAATTGATAGATGCTGAGCATCCATTTTTCCTGAGCTCTGGTCATTTGACAAAAAGAAACTGGCAAACATGTTGTCTCCAGATATACAAAAGTCCGTAAGACTTTCAGCTGTAGTTAGAACAGCCACAAAATACTGAATAACAAGGACGATAAACAAGCAGAAAGCTTACATTTATTAAAAGCAAGTAAATGACCAATCATATGCTTTCCTTTGTGTGGGTCTATCACACAGTCCCACTAAAATACATGATGTGATATATGTTTAATAAAACCAGAAAAAGTCTAGGAGGTATAGGGGCATGATTGGTATGTTCATGTGTTCCTGTTTATAGAATAAACCAGGCAAGCATTCTAATGTATCACACATTCTTTTTAGCCAGACTGACATTTGACTGTATGTTATACAGTCTGCCTTAATCTCAGACCTATGGTGAAGACATTTCTTATGTGGAATAAAAGGATTCCCTCAGGTACTTTTAGGAAAAATGATAAAAAAGGAGGGAGACGGAATGGGAGAAAATCCACAGAGAAGCACGAGTGGCTGTTAAGCCATAATGTCTGCCTGAAGATGGGAAAGGGCAGCGACTTAGTCATTTTCATGCAAGGAAAGGAGGTGGATGACAGGCAAGTCTCTTTTTAATCAGTTTGCCAAAAGACACCTTGGCAGTTAGAACCGTGAAGTCCATATAGTGTAGCTCAAGGAGTGGTGACACAGAAGGGAAGACGGATGTAAAGAACCTGGGGGTGGACATGAAGCACAAGGTGGATAATCCCATAATAATGTAATGTATCTGCCTTCAAATAAATAAGGGTCATACCAGTATATTCAGCACATAGGACTGAATCATATCTGCCCTGTAGCCTGAGCTTGGTTATTTTCACCAGTTTATGACAGATTTCCTTTACTAAGAAGTTAGTATTTTAAATGTGTTATACTTGGTTTAGGATGTACAGATATGATTTAGGAATGTTAATGTTGGATATATGGGACAAGAAGTCAAAAGCTGTGTTTTTATCATTTTTAACAGGCTTCCATGGGCAGTTGCCCAGGAACCTATTGGATAACTGGGTGACCTAGCACAAAATTAAAAAATATATGATCTTTTATTTCAGGCATTTGACAAGTTTGCTTTAACATTTATGCACAAACGGAAATAAGGTTCATACCTTGCTCAACGAATGTCTAATGGTTGGCTACCTGTAGCATCCAATTTGCCCAGCTCTGAACATTGTATTAAATCCATGTCAGAGGATTATTCAAACAGCTCTTCATGTTGCATTCATGTACAACTTCAATGTGATTTCACTGTTTTATGATGGCTCTGTCAAATTCAAAAAGCTTTGAGCACCAAAATGTTCTTTTCTCAAATGGATTAATGTTGTATAATCTAATTACCCAGGGACTTGCTATGTCTGTTTGTACTACTTAAAAGTAAATAAAATTTCTATATTTTTCACTTTTTTAAGCTTTAGAACAAATAAGAATGTTCTTCTTTTACTGTTAATCAGTGTAAAAGCATTATCATATTTTCTTCATTTTACTGACTGAAGCATACTTAAGATGTTTCTGTTACATAAACAGTATTTTCTGAATGATTTCAGCCGTATGTTGATGCCTTTGAGCCAGTTTCTGGCTGCAGCATTTCTTTCATCTTGTTCAGGAAAGTTTTATTTCCAACACAGAGGCTATTTTTCTGTTGGGGTTACTGGCAGAGTAAATAGACTGACTATTACCTAGCAGAAACTTGTCCTTCTCTATAATCCAAACCTGTTTGATGATAAAAACAAAGATATCACTGTGCCTTCAAGTGCAAAGGAATTTCACTGAAACATTACCAGACCAGGCTGAATTATGTGTGCAGTTTGATGGCTGCTGTTGTAATATAAAAACTAAATATGTTCCTTAGCTGATCCTGTTGAACTCCAGTAGAGTAGGAAAATGTATTTGGTGTCTTTTCTAGGTAGAGAAAGGATGTATCTTGTTTGTTGTTTAATGGAGAGGCTAAATCTGGAACAATGAAAAATTCCTTTACTTTCATCTCTGATAAAATTAACTGGCTTTGATCTATATTTGAATAATCTCAGGATAAAAGGACAATGCATTTTCTTATTTTATACAAAAATGGGTGGTGTTTTAGGTCCTAATCAGCATGTGTTCTAAGATTTTATTATGGTTTCTTAGAACCAGTGGGAGTTTTTTTTTTTCTCTCCAAAAGGTAGTGGTGTAAGGTCCTCTGACTGATAAAAAAAAAAAATGATTGTTAAAGATAAGAATAAAAAAAGTGCACCATAATGGGTAGATTAAATCCTGAGTGGATTCAGTTTAATTTCAAATGGACTCAATTTAATATTTGACCATTTTAACCTTACCCTTTTCTCTCTATGTTCTTCCCCTCCTCTCTCCCTTCTCTCTAATCCAGATCGCAGAGACATCAAACTCTTTCCTGAATCGCATGCTGAACAGAGACACCATCACAAGAATAACATATAAAAGTAAGTGCATGGGCAGTCTTCTAAATGTCAGACTATCTCCACATATTTGATCCTAACTGCCAGTTATTAATTAAGCCAGAAAGTACTGTGTCATTTAAAGCAACCATTGTTAGCAGAGGTGAACATCTGGTTGCTTTTAGCCTGCAACACTTTGCTGGGATGACAAGTTTTGCAATGGAAGGTAACAAGATAATTGAACTCCAAGAAAGGTGTTACAGCTGATTGTCTTATAGTGACATGAAAAATGATTTGACCCCTAAGAGATTTCTTCTGCTTTCGGTTTCTAATCAAGAGTTGCCAGGTCCAGTCTGTAACAGCTTGTAGCTTAACTGCTTATGATAATCAAAGAATATTTATCATGACATAAAGGTAAACTGAATAAATACCAAAAATAAAATAAAAAAATTATCTAGTTTGTTAAGGCAAAAAAAGCTTCTCAAAATAACTGCATTGATTCCAGTGGGTTTTTGTGCTAAATTAAAATTTATGGTTTAAAAAATACGTCTATTGTTTCTTACAAAATGCTGCAGTGAATGTCAATACTTCTAACTCAGGTGAATACTGTCTATCCCCCATGGTAGATGAAAATGTCATAAAAACATCCAGACGGAAAAATATTTCAAAATTAAAGACCATACCCCTATTATTCTTACTTTAAGTTATCTTAACCATGGATGGAGGGAATTTCAATTATAGATATTAATAATAACCAAAAAAAGCTGATGTGTTGCTAACACACATAAAGTCTCTGCAAGTATTGCGTAATATCTTTGTTGCATACTGTCTTCAGACTCATATCGGTTTTTCAGGCCTAATGTCCCCAGATAAAGTAAAGTAATCATCTTCATAAAGAAACTTATATTTTTTTATTCACTGATAATTATGTATTAGTAATAGTTGTTACATTTTTATAAAGGAAATGTGTTCTGATTAAATACTCAAATAGAGATGTATTTTTAAAGAAAATATATATCTAAAAGCATCTGAGTGACACGTTCCTAATCTAAAATGTTTAATGACCAGTAGACTATGGAAAGCCAAGTGGATCAAAAGCATGTCTAACATGTTTTTGTGAGCTTTTTGCACATTGTCAACATGTAGTCTTCACCTTTTTATTGGTCACTTCCAGTTGACAACATGTTAAGAACATGTCAACTACGAGTCAGCCACGCATTGACAACACTTCTATTATAAGTCAATTATACGTTGATTTAATTTGATTATGAGCCATTCAGCCACTTGTCCAGTTTGAACTGGTGGGTGTTGGGTATTTTCCCCATTGGATGCTGGTTAAACCATTTATTGTAAGCTGGGGGAGGTTTGCCTGCAGCAATTCAACATATAAGCTTATTTTCTTCCCTTTATGAGAAAAGGCGCCTTTTAAATAAATCTAATATTTAGATGACAATTTAAGGCAAAAATCAGCTGCAAAGCTAAATATCTTTTTAGAGAGATATCTCTGTTCAGGTAAGTCTACAAAAAAAACCTACCCATGCTTGCTTTAGGTACCTATGTGAGATAACAGGAACATTTATATGGATAATTTATGAACTCTTCCAAAAAACGGTGCATGGAATTGTCAAAAATATCTTGGTATGTAGAAGCATTTACAATTCCTTTCAGTAGAACCAAGCGGTTAAACCAAATTTCAACATCATAACCCCACCAGTGCTTATTTTATGTGCACCTTAGCTAATCAGGCTCTGTGATTTTACATTTAATGGCTTAGTTGTCGTCTTTCATATCAACTTTGCTGTAAAATTTACTGTAAAATGTTTAGCCGTGATAACATTTAAAAGTTGGAATTAATCCACACATAACATCCATTACAACTCATTAAGTCAAAAATGTCTGCAGAATAATTCTGTATAACTCGGGGTTTGGTTTTATACTCCTGTGAGTATTAAAATGTGTTAAAACTCTGTAATTACTCAATAATTTGGAGTGGTAAGTGAATATTTTTGAAAATTTTGAAAAAGGCATTCTTTATCACACCATTCTCCTTTATGATGCAAATATTGCATAAAAATGCTGTGTACAACTATACATTTTAGACACTTGTTTTAGTGTAGAAAAATAAACTTTTCTATACCTGTGATTAGAAATTAAATGCATGGCTGTTTAGAATATTTTAGAGAACTGTTATAAGATTAGGATGTTAAGATACCTGCGGGGTGAATACTCCTGATAGCTGGAAGGGGCTTTGGCACGGCAGAAGTCGACAGCTGCTCTTCGGGGAGCTCACTCCATTCCAATGCAGAGATAGCCTCAGGCTAACTTAAAAGAAAAGACAAATAATTGGATTAATAGGAGGGAGGTGAGTGACAGATAACATGCGCTGACCCTCTGTGGTTTGGAGGAGTCCCAGAGGCATTTAGATGCAGCTGGAGGGTGTTGTGTTGTGAGGGGGGATTTTTTTGCATGCTAAGAGGGAAGCTGCAGAGGAACCTGACAGCTGTCCAAAATCTCTGATGTACCACCTTGCACAAGCTGACTCAGACACACGCAACCAGCACCACCACCCACTCATGCTACTGGATCTCGCAGCCAATGTTTCTCCTGTCCCAACGCATCATAATGCACATATGTACACTTATGCAAACAAAATAATACATTCAGAGCGTATATGATTAAGACATCAGAGTTACGACACATAGACAAAAAAATGACTTGCCTGGTTTATACTGAATAAATTGAAACTGTGTGTTATTTTAGAGTAGTTAAAGATCATTTAAATAAAAGGATAATTTTAGTGAAGCTGAATTAAAAACATAATTAATCCCAGACAGAATATGATTTAAAAAGGAATTTTTTACACTTCCTCAAGTTAATTTTGTCTGAAAATAACATTTGTTTGAGAATCTGAAGCATTAAAAAACTTAATTCTGCCCTCAGACAGATTTTGAAAATTGCCATCAAAGTGGTTGGTACCAAGAAATCCTGAGGGTCAGGGTTAGGAGCTATCTTAGCCTTGTACTGTACATAAGCTTAGCCTAATTGAAGCATGAAGGAAAAGCAGAGGGATGCCGGTAGTGACAAGTTTTTTTACTCCCTCAACGTCTGATGTTGACGGAAGCTTTGTGGTGTTATGATGTTGACAGCCTGTACTAACATGTTCTGTGTGAACCTACGTGAAATTATAGCCACAATAGCCACTGTTCAACCACTTAGGAAAGCACTAAAACAGAATATTTCGAGGCAAATATTTAAAAACACAACAAAGCTCAGATGAAAATGTAAAAAATTTATTGTAACACTGAAATAGCACCCCATAAGCCTATCTTATACTGTTTCTTTGTAAAGTTAGTTAGTTAGTTTAGTGATGTCAAATTTGTGCAGTAGCTAAACTAGTTGTTAACAACAATAACCGTATTGACTAGTCACAAAAATCTAAAAACTTTAATTTGATCCTTTTTTTTTTTTTTATTGTAAGTCTGTCACACCGTTGATTATATCCACCAGAATTTTATTACGCTCAGACCTAATGTATTTTCATTAGCTTTCAAATTTTAGCAACCCTCTACATTGACTCCATCACAGTGGGCTGTCCATTTGTCTTCTGAGCCTTCAGAAGATGACAACTGAGAGCAATCTAGTTGAGTGTGAACACAGAGCGATAGATGGACAGAGTCTTAGTCTGTCCAATTAATGCTGTGACAGTGAAGGCAGTTTGGATAAAACGGGTTTTGAAGTGCAACACCAACGGCCTGCCACTCACCCGACTGTGGATGTTATGTGAAAGAGGCGAGGAAAAATTAGTTCTGAAACATGAGCTGAGAGCGCGATGAGCAGTAAGGAGGAGTGTGTACTCAGTAAACCCCCACAGAATGTCATGCTCAGGTCTCAGTGACAGGACTGAGCATGATGAAAGAGTCAATGCTGTGAAGGGTTCAAACTGACTGCAACGCTTGTCAACATGTCAGTGTCCAGGGCCATAAATATTTAACATTACTACATTATTACCAGCCAGGGGCTAGGGTTGTTTTCACATCATGAGTCAGTCTGTGTGAAAGTGTGCATCAGCATTGCAGGATGTAGCCCATGCACAGAGCGGCATTGAGAAATGTATGTGCTCTAGCCTAACTAATTCTGTTTTAACTTATCTGACTCTGGGTATGTGCGGCATATTTTAAGCTAAAAAGGATCAGCAGTCACAATCGTAAATATCTAACCCTATAAAGAAACAGAAATCTTATCTTGACACAGGTAAGAAAAAAAGCTACCAAACGAAATCTAAATAAGCACAGCAGCCATTTGAATATCTAGATTATTAAGCTGATAATGTATTTCTCAATATTTTTTAAAGCACAGTTTAATATATCAAACCTTATGCTTTTATTAAACTAATAAATTGATTACATGAGAAATATTTAGTGGCATGTGAGCAGGTTTGGATCTTATGTCATAAGCACCAATACTTGCTTTTTTGTGTAAAATAATAAGATTAGGATCACTGGAATGTTAAATTTTAGCTAGATTGTAAAATATGCCAGAAGAATCGGATTTAAACACTGCCTTTCTGCATAAAACACAAATTAATATTGTAAAGTGCATATTAATGAAAGAGATTAGTGTGCGATGTGTGTGCAACAGAAAAGAAAATAAGTTGTTTATTTTTTATTTAACCATCTTTCTACAAATGCTAAGGTTTCAGAAAAATGCTATCTTTATTAAAGAGGCTTTATTTCAATTAAATATATTGTCGTCAAGGTTTAACTACACCATAAATTGTTGTTTTTCTGCTCATTTGTTGGATGTTGTTTATAATAAAACCACTGAAACAGTTTTCTTTATATTCCTTCATATAAATAAGGAATTTCTGCTAAATCTAAAATTACTGTCCACCTGTCTATCCATCTTTTTCCTGCAGTCATTCAGAAATAGACAGGGTAAGCCCGAATCAATTTTCCATTTAATACAGAGCAAAACAGAAACAAACAGGATGGAGTTACAACAAGAACAACTATTCACACAACCCTCCGATGGCCAAGGGCAATTTAGAGATGTCAATTAACAGTACTAACAACTCCTCTGCCATGTAGCCCATCTGATCAGTCTATGTACTTTAGGTTTCAACCTAGTGATAAAATCGATTCTAGTATCTGAAAAGATTTCCTAATGTAAGCACCAACTAACCAGTAGCTAATGTTGGTGTATACTAGATTATTATGAATTGTTCAAATCTTAACTCTTCACTCTGTCAATGTTTAAGTTCACACTGCTGATTTTAAAGTAGTAGAAACTAAAGCCTTTGGTTATCAAAGATAATTAGAAATCTCAGGGCAAATCATAGTTATTCAAACTACAGTTTTTGTTTAACCATTGTCTGCTTTGTTATGTATTTTTCCTCTTTCTCATCCATTGCAGATGATGCATATCTTCTGACTGGCCTGAACATAGAGGAGATTTACCCCGAAACTAATAGTTTCATCACCTATGATGGATCAATGACTATCCCTCCATGCTTTGAGACAGCCACATGGATCCTAATGAACAAGCCAGTGTACCTCACACGCATGCAGGTGAGTCTCAACCACCCATCAAGGCTGTAAAACATCTCAACTAAGTAAGGAACATATGTAATTACGCCCCCTAATGCTCCATACTCCCCTTTCTGTAAAGTGATGCTGTGAATGTCTCCATTATGCTTCTGTAAACCTCTCACTCTGGCTTTGCACCTGTCTCTGCCTTTGCATTTAGATGCACTCCTTGCGGCTACTGAGTCAGAACCAGCCATCTCAGATCTTTCTGAGCATGAGTGACAACGTTCGCCCCGTCCAGCCGCTGAACAATCGATGCATCCGCACAAACATCAACTTCAGCATGCAGGGCAAGGACTGCCCTAACAACAGGGCCCAGAAGCTCCAGTACCGGGGTACAAACTACTTTATTTAATCTTGCTATAACTGTTTTAAGTAAGACATGTTTTGTAGCTATTAAAATCATTCATTCATACACCAAACAAAATGAACTGCATTTCTCACTATCCTACCTGTCCCAGAAGCATGATCCGTACCATCGGCTCAATTGCGCATGAGCAACCAGATATACATCTGGGTCGCCTTTGATTTTATTTTGTAAAAAATAACCCAAATTATGTTTTTCCCTCCCCAAAAATAGTGAGCGTACTAAACTATAATATTTTCAAGGTTAATGTATTTCCTGGCAAAATAAATGCCTTAAAATCTTTTCTGTCTTATCTCTCGTCTTTCCCCGATCTGCACCATAAATGGGATCCTATGCTACTTCTGGGAGCTAACTTTTTCGGTTTTGGATTTAAACATAAATCTAGTCTTTTTTAAGTAGCATTGAGTGCTAGTTTTGCCGATGGAGAGAATGTTCTTCATCTAATTACCATGTAGAGGGCCGCTCTGAAATGATGTGAGATGAAGCAAAGAGAAGGTCACAATTTTGGTAAGAGGAACGGTATGTTTTGGCAAATTTAGCAGAGCGAGAGTGCCAATGCCCTTGCAAGGTAGCAAAGCAAAATTTGGAGAAGTGGAAAAAACAGAACTTTTAGTTTACATTTGCATTGCAAAATCTAATCAGGGACTAGATGTGGCTCTGACCTACTGTGAAGGTGCCCAGCAAAGACAAATTTTTCAAATCAAAATGGAAGATCAAGAAAATAATTCTTAAATTAAAGAATGATGTAGGGAATGCCAGTAAGAGGTGTGAAGGAAAATTTTAAAAATTATTTACCCCAAGAAGAACTGTTTGTTATGCTCCCTTACCTCCAGCACAAACACCGGCCAGTTACCTCCACGTTTCCCCACTTTGGTGCACTCTTCCTGGTTGACTTCTTTAATCTACCACTGTCCTCCTTTCTTTTTCTGGAGTGAGGCTATCCCTGGCTCCCTTGCTCTGGCCCTCTGGTTGCCCAGCGGGCTTCTCCAATCTACCACTGTGGTTCCTTAGCTCAAGGGGGGGCATAGCCGGGTTGTGGGGCTTTTTTTGCAGGGTTCTTGCTTTCATTTCCTTGCTCCTCCTATGCCAGCTCCTTACCCTAAGCTCTCATCCTGAACTCTAAGCTGACATGACCCACAAACTCTGTACTCCCTCTGGTGGACTCGGGGATACCAGTAGCTTAGCTCTGCTTTGCAAAGTAAATACAGTACCGCAACCTGCTCCAGGAAATCCCTGTACACCATGTGGAGGTAGGACCTGTAACCAACAGACTCAAATATGTAGTGGAGCCTCTCTGTAGCCACGCAAATTTGTCCAGTCTGTAAATATCTTACACCATCCAGGTGAGTTTCAGGTGAAATATCAGGCAAGAAAAGGCACACAAAACAAACAAAATCTCTGTGAGAATGCACCATTAGGGAACAATACTGATAAGACACCTGATCAGACATATTATGGTACACATATGTAGTATTTAAGTTAGAAGGATTAATGTGTCCTTGTATTACAGTTACTCAATTTCTTCCCATTCTCCTTGTCAAAGTGATCTGCTATATTCCAAAACAAAGAGAGGTTTCAATTCTCAAATTAAGCTCCTATACATTATATATATATATATATATATATATATATATATATATATATATATATATATATATATATATATATATATATATATATATATATATATATATATATATATATATGATCATTACACATAGAGTAAAATATTCAAATCCTAAACTTTGTAATTTTCATTATTATGGCTTATAGATAATAGAAATCCAAAAAGTCGGGCAGAGAAAAAATTGATATAAGAAAAAGTGAAATATGGAAAAGTCCAAGGTGTTACACCCTAATTAGATAAGTACCAAAAACCCCTGCAAAGTTTCCCTATGCTGCAAAGGGTCTTCTGGTCTGAGTAAGTAGGCAACACAATGAATGGGAAGGGTGCTGACTTGACAGATATCTAAAAGAAAGTATTTGGTTGTTGATTTTTTTTTTCTCAGTTTAGTTAGTCACTGCTGCCAAAGACTGATTCATCTACCAGTACTTACTGGAAACAGTGCTAAACACTCACTATCGTGTCGCACGGATAAGATCCTTTTTTTTTTCTTTGTGCTGTGACAGAGTAGAGATACGTTGCTGCTGAGAGTGACTCGTGCCACTGTTTCACTCAGCCTTGTGTAAAAATCAGGTTGTTATTCATTCTTGCCCTGATTCATACAGTCCAAGCACTGTCCGAAAAGTCATGTTGTGTCACTTCATGAGCTTGGACAGACGTAATGTGAAAAAGATAATGTATTTACTTATGTTGTAGATTGTGTTCAGATGAAGTCTGGATGGATTTAATTTATAAGTCCAGATTTTTCATAATAATAATACTTTTTCCTTTTAAAATCTAAGTAGACTGACCTCAGTCAGTCCTTTGATTTTTATTACTGTTTAAACTGTAAAGAAACATGAGAGGCTGTCAAAAGTTTAAGATCAGTGCACTCAGCGAATGATCTTCAGAACGTTTGTGTGTCTTGCAGTTGTAACAAAGAGCCGATTTTCAAAGAAGGTGAAAAGTGATTTGCGTTTGTAATGAGGCAGGCAGCAAGTGCAAAAAAAAAAGAGCCTGCGAAGAGACATAGGGGGAAATGTAACTAGAAACACTGTTACAGTATGGTTAGCACCTGTCTAAAGACATGCAAACTTTGGGGAGGGGGCCATCGAAGAGAACTTTCTGGTGTTTTAGAATAATTTTGTTTATATTACTACTATATATTACTAATGCTACGTTCACACTGCAAGCAGCAGGAGCAGCAAAAACATGTGTGTTGCTTCATTTTTGATGTTTGTATAAGTTTAGTTCTGACGCTTGGCTGAAGCATCTTTGCAGCTCTTGCTGCACGGTCGGAAAGTGAGTCTGATGTGTATTGGGCAGAGCTACCCTATCCTTTCTTTACCTGTACAATGGCAGCTATATATCTGTGATCAGGGGGTAAAAAGTAGTTTTAATGTTTTTAAGTGAGAAAGTCCAACTGAAAACTTCATCCGTGCAGTCAGTTCATCAAAACTATGATATTGCCTTCAAATATTATTTTGCTGTTGGAGCCACTCAGACCCGGTACACCAGCAGTGCTCTGTCACTAGGAACCTCGTTCGACAGCAGCCTCTTTGCGCTGGATGTTGGTGTTTTTCACGTACGTAATCCAAACTGCAGGCACCAGAATAACAAAAGCAAACATATTTTGCCAGCAGATTTTGGCATTTTAAGTTAAACTAGACATTAATAAACTGTTTTAGGGGAGTGATCACAGCAATCTGCCCTGCCAGCTCCAAGATCAAGTTCTCTGAATGGTTGATGTGGCGCGTCGAGCAACAAAAGTTAAATTTGTCCAACTCCAGCAGCTGCTGCTTTCGCGGTGCGTCCCACATCTCAGATGCTCATAAGCTCATGATGCACTGCTTCTGCTGCTCAGACGCGATGCTCCTTCTGCTCAAAACTCGCTGAGGGACCTTTTGCTGTGCCAAGATGCGCATCAACAATTGACTTTGCATGTAAACTAGTTGCTTCTGCTGCCTCTGCTGCTTTAGGTGTGAATGTAGCATAATACTTTTGTGTTTATTATTATTAATTTTTATTTTTGTTGTACTTAGAGATAGAGCCTACTTGTGAAAGGGGCGCTATAAACACCATTTCCGCCAAATATATGGCTGACAACCTCATTCTTTTTTTTTCAACCATCTCAACTGCACACAAAACACACAATGGCCCAATCCCAAACTGGCCCCTAAACACTTACCCTGAGCACTATCCCTCCATTTGGACATTCCCACAGAGGGTCCGCCACATTAAGTGCCATCCCAAACCACATAGTGGGTAGGGGGAGTGGACCATTTAGCTCTTAAATAGTGAGTGCATCAGTTGCAGGCTCACTGGAATTCAGCAGCAGGTGTAAATGTGAACTAGTGGCGGAAGAAATATAAATTCCAATAGTTTGCTGCATCTTTATAATTCTGAAAGAAATCCCTTGTTAGGTATAAGAAAAAAACGTAAATAATTCAAAATGGGAGGTCCTCTTTAAAAGAGTTTCAACTGACCATATACATTTGTTTTAAGAAAGGGGCAAACGTTTGATTTTATGTCACTCCGCGCCACAGAGCTACAGCCATGCACATGTGGCATTGCCATAGCAATGACTGCTTTCTTTCTGTAGGAGGTAAGAAGCCATCCTATTCTCATATACACCCCCTCCAACACCCCCTTCAATCAAGGCACCTTCCACAACTGCGAGTGTGACTTTATTGGGAGTGACACACAGGGGGTGGTTTGGGATTCAGCTAATCTGTTCATTTTAATGGGGCAGAGCCAAAGTGGTCATGTCTTCACATTTGGGCAGTCACCGCATCAAGAACAACTATACACAGACAAAATTAAAGGGACAGTGTTAGAAGAATCTTAGCCAAGTTGAGGGGGAAAATGTATTGTCAGTTGCTTAGTGGTCCAAAGTCAGATGAAAGTAAAGTTTGATTTAAATTTAGAAATCAAGATCCCAATAACTAGATGAAGTGTTGAGAGGTAGACAATACCATTTATCTAAAGTCCAGTAATTGAAGTAAAGTGTTAAATTTGTCCATTGTGTTTCCAAAAGTCCATGGTCAACACAGTCATGTACCTGCAAACATCAGAGTAGTTTCCTCTTCCTTCTGCTGACAAGCACTATGGTGATGATGACTGATTTTAAAGCAGGTGTCAACACCTGCCCCCACTGGCAAAATACCATAAGCTGCTAAAATGACCGTGGTGTTACTGTGCTTATTGGATAGCAAACCCACTTGGCCTGAACCCCATAGAGAATCTCCAGAGTGCTGTGAAGGGGAAGATGATAGACTTCAGACCCAGCAATTCAGATGACCTGAAGGCCGCTTTCAAAGCAACCTGGGCTTATGTTACACCTCAGCAGAACAACAGGCTGATCACCTCGGTGCCAGTAATTCATTCAAAAGGGGGCCAAACCAGGTATTAAGATAAGTGTACTTTTCAGTACCCTAACCTTTCTGTTTAACATATACTTTTTTTTTTTTTTTACCATACTTGATGTAAAATACAAATTTTAGAAGACAGTGAATATTGAGTTTTCATTATCTGTAGGGCATATATGAATATCATAATAAGACAGGCTTGAGAATGCTTGAAAATGTCTAGTGTACAACATGTACTAGTTGATCTTTCTTAAAAGAATGAAAAAAAATAGATGTACTTTTCTTAACTTGACCCAGATATTGTAAATGGATCAGAATCTCATAAAGCAATGACCTAATTCTGGAGTTTTTAAATGTAATCTTAAATGCATATTAAATAGTCCTCTTTATTTATATAAACTTCTGATTATTAAGAAGAAGTTATTAAAATCAGTCTATTTTTTTCATACAGCTTTTAGATATATTTAATCTCAGCTGTAAGATTGAGGTGTTACTCTTTTTTTTAAAGTGTTTTACAGATCTTTAGTATACTATATCTTATTGACAGTCAACTCATGCAACTGCGCTGACAGGCCCAAGAGAGAACTTACACGGTCTGATTGATCTGAAAAGCCCGTGCAGTCTGTACTCTTTCCTTAAAATATAGAAAAATATCCCTCACAGGTTTAGAACATTAAAAAAAGAAAATATCTTGTTGACCACCATAAGATTTGTTGAAGTTGTTAAAATCTGTTTTAAAAAATCAGTTTTAATTTGCTTCATATTTTTAGAATGTACAGGTGCTGGTCATAAAATTAGAATATCATGAAAAAGTAGATTGATTTCAGTAATTCCATTTAAAAAGTGAAACTTGTATATTATATTCATACATTACATACAAACTCATATATTTCAGATGTTTATTTTGTTTAATTTTGATGATTACAAATGACAACAAATGAAAATCTCAAATTCATCATATCAGAAAATTAGAATATTACTGAAGACCAATAAAAACAAAGGATTTATAGAAATGTTGGCCAACTGAAAAGTATGAACATGAAAAGTATGAGCATGTACAGCACTCAGTATTTAGTTGGGCCTCCTTTGGCCTGTATTACTGCAGCAATGCGGCGTGGCATGGAGTCGATCAGTCTGTGGCACTGCTCAGGTGTTATGATAGCCCAGGTTGCTCTAATAGTGGCTTTTAGCTCTTCTGAATTGTTGGGTCTGGTGTATTGCATCTTCTTCTTCACAATACCCCATAGATTTTCTATGGGGTTAAGGTCAGGAGAGTTTGCTGGCCAATTAAGAACAGGGATACCATGGTCCTTCAACCAGGTACTGGTAGCTTTGGCACTGTGTGCAGGTGCCAAGTCCTGTTGGAAAATGAAATCTGCATCTCCAAAAAGTTGGTCAGCTGCAGGAAGCATGAAGTGCTCTAAAACTTCCTGGTATGTGGCTGCGTTGACCCTGGACCTCAGAAAACACAATGGACCAACACCAGCAGATGACATGGCACCCCAAACCATCACTGACTGTGGAAACTTTACACTGGACTTCAAGCAACGTGGATGAAGTGCCTCTCTTCTTTTCCTCCAGACTCTGGGACCTTGATTTCCAAAGGAAATGCAAAATTTACTTTCATCAGAGAACATGACTTTGGATCACTCACCAGCAGTCCAGTCCTGTTTCTCTTTAGCCCAGGCAAGACGCTTCTGACGCTGTCTGTGGTTCAAGAGTGGCTTGACACAAGGAATGCGACAGCAGAAACCCATGTCTTTCATACGTCTGTGTGTGGTGGTTCTTGAAGCACTCACTCCAGCTGCAGTCCACTCTTTGTGAATCTCCCCCACATTTTTGAATGGGTTTTGTTTCACAATCCTCTCCAGGGTGCGGTTATCTCTCTTGCTTGTACACTTTTTTCGACCACATCTTTTCCTTCCCTTCGCCTCTCTATTAATGTGCTTGGACACTGAGCTCTGTGAACAGCCAGCCTCTTTAGCGATGACCTTTTGTGTCTTGCCCTCCTTGTGCAAGGTGTCGATGGTCGTCTTTTGGACAACTGTCAAGTCAGCAGTCTTCCCCATGATTGTGTAGCCTATAGAACTAGACTGAAAGACCATTTAAAGGCTTTTGCAGGTGGTTTGAGTTAATTAGCTGATTAGAGTGTGGCACCAGGGGCCATCAATTTTGAACCTTTTCACAATATTCTAATTTTCTGATATGATGAATTTGAGATTTTCATTTGTTGTCATTTGTAATCATCAAAATTAAACAAAATAAACATCTGAAATATATGAGTTTGTATGTAATGTATGAATATAATATACAAGTTTCACTTTTTAAATGGAATTACTGAAATCAATCTACTTTTTCATGATATTCTAATTTTATGACCAGCACCTGTAATCAAATGTCTATCAAAACATAGAAGCTAAAAAGGCAAAAAACCAAGTACGGAGCCCCATAATTTATCTCTCCCTTAGCCGGATTCAGAAATACAGATATTTGTTATATATTAAATTGGTATTTTTTCCAAATATTTAAGTAAAATGTTAGTTAAATAGAGACAGAATCATGTTTTGTCAATGAGGTCGAAGAGAGTAATAACCTACAGCGTTAAGTTAAGAATTGTAGCAACTGGCTATCCTAGTATGTGCTAAGAGTACTTTACTTGTTTACATCTTTACACATTTTCTTGACTTGTCATGATGCTTTTATAGCTTTAATAAAGAGCCACCTGTTAAATGACAAATTGCAGATAGGCAAGGCAAGTATACCACAGTTAGTAAAGAGACAATTGAAAGGCTTTACATGAATTAGTAAGTTAAATAGAAGGAAAGTATAAGCAGGATAAAAGCAAGTAAAGATAAAAACATGATAAAAGCAGGAAGTAGATATCACATAATGACAAGTAATACATTCCAATATTCTATCTTTCCCTAGTTTGTATATGTAAACTATACTGTATATAGTACTAACAAAGTCAATGTAACTAAAGTGTTTAAAAAAAACCTACTGAAACTCTATGCTCTAATGTTTTTCATATGAAGAGCAACAGGCTAAAACAATTCCTTTTTTGCATAATTGCTAAATGCCATAAAGAGATAACAGGTTATTTTTGTTTATATGTATCTCTAGGAATCCACCCAGTGTCAGTTTCAAGTCAGGTTTGGATTATGTTACTACTATCTTAGGAAAGCAACTGACATTAACCCTTTAAGGACTAACCCTACAGTCTTAGAGAATTATGTCCTCTAACCTTCAAAAGTGTTAAAGTGTTTTCTTACATCCATCAAGAACAGCACCTTTCATGCCCCACATCCAGACTGTAGAGGAGCTGAGCAGCTCCTTTAGTAAATTACTTTTACACAGGTCATTCATCCCTGCTGCCATCGGACTCTACAATCCGACACTACAACGGCAGTAACTTGTGCAATGTATAATGTGCAATTACCATTTCATACCCAGTGCAATAACTTGTTTCTATCTGTCAATAAGACTTCAGCTGTCATATATATATATATATATATATATATATATATATATATATATATATATATATATATATATATATATATATATATATATATATATATATATATATATACATACATACATTATATATATATATATGTATATATATATAGGACATGCTGTACAGATGCAAACCTCATTTCCTTGCTTTGTACTCCAGTGCAATAAAGTTGAATTTTATCCTATTCTATATACCCCCATGCATCTTTTCTTCCATTGGCACATTCTTATTGTTCTTTTTGAAGATTTGAGCCAATGTAACCCATACTCACACTGAGCAGCTCACACTGAGTCTGGTTCTGCTGGAGGTTTCTTCCTGTTAAAAGAGAGTTTTTCCTCTCCACTGTTGCTACAAGCATGCTTAGTTTGAGGGATTGCCTTCGGGTCAATGAGTCGATGCAATCAACTACTCTCCTTAGATAGAAAACTCAGAATCAAATTGACTGTATAATCTGGCACCAATTCACAACATGTGTTAAATGAACCGAATTGAAATGAATTAACAAATGCATTTCTCTACTGTGAAATCAACAAAGTCAATCAATCAATCAATATTGCCATCAAATTTAGCTGATGTAGCCAGTTGACTCTGGTTTGTTTTTACAGAGATCCATGTAAAGGTTGCTGGACATCATTTATCTTTCATAAAGCAGCAGAGTTCATATCTAGTTTTTATCCTTTCCTTTCAGATGGAAAGCCATTTATTAGTAGCTTTGAACTTCTATTTGTATCTGCAAAAGATGGTTTGAAGACATACAGGTGCTGGTCATAAAATTAGAATATCATGAAAAAGTAGATTGATTTCAGTAATTCCATTTAAAAAGTGAAACTTGTATATTATATTCATACATTACATACAAACTCATATATTTCAGATGTTTATTTTGTTTAATTTTGATGATTACAAATGACAACAAATGAAAATCTCAAATTCATCATATCAGAAAATTAGAATATTGTGAAAAGGTTCAAAATTGATGGCCCCTGGTGCCACACTCTAATCAGCTAATTAACTCAAACCACCTGCAAAAGCCTTTAAATGGTCTCTCAGTCTAGTTCTATAGGCTACACAATCATGGGGAAGACTGCTGACTTGACAGTTGTCCAAAAGACGACCATCGACACCTTGCACAAGGAGGGCAAGACACAAAAGGTCATCGCTAAAGAGGCTGGCTGTTCACAGAGCTCAGTGTCCAAGCACATTAATAGAGAGGCGAAGGGAAGGAAAAGATGTGGTCGAAAAAAGTGTACAAGCAAGAGAGATAACCGCACCCTGGAGAGGATTGTGAAACAAAACCCATTCAAAAATGTGGGGGAGATTCACAAAGAGTGGACTGCAGCTGGAGTGAGTGCTTCAAGAACCACCACACACAGACGTATGAAAGACATGGGTTTCTGCTGTCGCATTCCTTGTGTCAAGCCACTCTTGAACCACAGACAGCGTCAGAAGCGTCTTGCCTGGGCTAAAGAGAAACAGGACTGGACTGCTGGTGAGTGGTCCAAAGTCATGTTCTCTGA